TATATATATTTGGTTCTGATAAGAGTGTGGGTATCGCGTGGCCTATCGGTGATCACTTAGGTATTTATCTTTACGAATGTGGTACGTGGTTTATGGTAATAGCACAGAGACCGCCAAGTCGATGCAGAATCTTTTATTTATTTATTTTTTTACGTCATTCAATCCTCACGTTTTCTCAGATCAAGGGGGAAACGATAGCAATAGGAAACATGGTACTAAAAATTAAAAAAAGCTCGCGCACCTTTGAGCAAGTTGGATGTGAAAAATGTGATACTATAGTCAAGGTTACGGACAAAGCGGCTTGGACGCTTGAGCTTTCTTGTTACGCTGTACTATTTGTGTAAAAAATGTTTGGCTTTGGACACTTTTCTCTACTTAATTTGTTGTTGTTTTTGTTGCTGTTGGTTTTGTGCAAACTGGTTTTCTGTGTGTTTAAATAAAACGTTTTGTTAAAATTTGGCTTTTACCTTGCTAGTGGATTGAGGTTGTCCCTAGTAGATCCTATATTTTTGCTTTTCTTGTTTCTCTGTCTATCTATATTGTTCGTTTCCAGATCCAAATGACCGTAATGAGTCCGCCTGCTTCGCTTTACCTTAAAAAAAAAAAATCAATACCTCAATTTGGGGTACCCAGCCCCTTCGAACGTTAATTGTCGTATCCTTTGGAAGCCCATTGATGACGCTTACTTTAAAAACAAAATATAATCTGGGATGTGCTAGGAGCCAACTTTTATACTCTTTAATTAAATACGTAGCAGATATATCATATTCAATCAACAGCGAGCCAAAGGCAATGCAACACATTTCAAACCATCATACACAAATCAGATACACGACTTGCACTTTTCATAGTATGAAAAACTTGTTTGCCTTCCTTTTTAAGTCGCAGATATGAAAAGACAACATAATTGAACAATTATGTGAATGGATAACAAAGTTATGTTTCTTTTTTAAAGTGCTCCTTAAGGGATGTCGAATGACTTGAATGCGAGTCCCTAATAAGTCAATGAAAAGGACACACGACGTAAGTCCCCCCCCCCCCCCCCAAAAAAAAAAAAAAAAAAAAAAAAAATTAAAGTTGCGTATAACCTTAAATAAATGCGAACACAGCCCTATAGGCAAGTCAGGCGCCAGACAACCTCGCAGGTGTTTTCATGACTGCTTATCTTCCTACACCATGCTGGTTTTCGCGAGCACTTATAAGCACCAGGGTGCGTTCGGGAAGAAGGTTACGTTACTCAGATAGATAACAGCATAATAGTATGACGTACACGCCTACTTAAAAAAAAAAAAAAAGAACGTTTGCTGTGATAGTACGTATTCGTCCAGGTGACTCACACTAGAATATATGACAACGGCGCTCTTCGCAAATACACACAAAAAAAGGAGAATTGAAATATCTATTATGAAAACAAAGACAAACAAACAGGGAGTTATGTTGACAATGAGAAATGATAATTCTAAGGGTTTTTTTGTTTGTTGTTTTCCACACTCTGTATTTAAGTCATCAAAGTTGAGGCATGCGATTTTAATTGAGATTGGGGGGGGGGGG